TGCTGAGATCATGATTAAGATTAGAAAAGAGCAAAGAGCTTTTTGTATTGAACATTTCCTCACCACCAACTCATATCGTAAGTTTCGCACAAGGTGCGGAAATAATGTTAAAGTGCCCTTAAGGCCTCCTTTGATGTCAAGGGTGGAAATGATTTATCATTTAGAACCTGTAGAGAATCAGAACAAAAAATTCCCAGACAAAATGACCACTTCAAGTCAAACACACACCATTTTCACCCCTTTAAACGTCACCTGGGTGCAGAATTCAGAAGATGGGCCCCATGATACGTCTGTCTGTAGACGACATCTGCAGATGTCCTACATCTCAACAGTCCGCATTCTCAAGGCAAATCTTCATCTACGACTGTACCATTTTCCCTTTCCCAAAGCTATTAAAGAAAAGCAATGTGCTCATGATCCTACGATAGTCTTGAAAAGCGTGAACATTTCCTCAATGAAATTTGGTTCCTTGGCAAAGCCCATATTCACCTTTCCAGTTATATCAACTCCACAAATGCTGTCTATCTTAGCAACCTCACCCCCCCCCCCCCCCCCATTGTCTCTCGAAACAGCTCCATACAGTAAGACGTACCGTCTATGAGGCTTTGAGTACTCACGATTGAGTGGATCTTTGTGTTTGGCCACCCCTGAACATTACAAACGACGCCTTAAAATGTGTCGAGTCTAAAGGAGGACGTATAGTCAATATAGACCAGTGGTTTCTCAAAATTCCAGAATTAAAAAGAATATTTTTTAAAGCTCAGTAAGAGAAAAGAAATGTAGTTTAAAGTTTACAGGGATGGAAAGATTAGTTTTTCAAAATAAAAGGAAAGGGAAAAACAAACCAATCATTTCAAGACTTTCTTTACAAGATTTTTTAAATTGGCGTATTTTGCATTTATATGTGGTTTTTATAGAAGCCGTTACCGTTTTCAAAAATAAGTTACTTCTTTGTGAATTTTAAGTCAAACAAATTCCTTTTGAATGAATTATACCTGTTCCAAATTACAACGTTCTAGTACAAATTTTGTGTTCGATATTTAGAAAAAAAGTTGTACAGGTTTGTTTTTTTTAATCACCCTGTAGAAGGGTTCTAGAGATCAGTTAATAAAACATGGCTGACTAGGAAACATGTGTTTGTGAAGACTGTTGTTTTTGTAAGTGTTTTACGGCGCTCGCAAGTGCATAAGGTCATATGAGCGCACGGCACACATTAAAATTTTTCAGTCAGTAGGAAATTTTGAATTTTGCCCGGGTGGTGGCCAAAGCCTACTCTTATATCGATTTTAGACCATCAAGGGATCTTTAACGAGAGCAATTTGCGCACGGGCCCTCCCATATTTTGCGCCCTTGTCCGAGAAGGCTAGGTGTACATCTTTCCTACCAGAAGATCAGGGGTGTGGCTGAAAGACAGAATAAGAAGAAGCCAAGGAGTAGCAGTAGAAAGACTGTAGAAAGAATCAGGAGCCCAGAGGAGGGGGGCAAAGGAGATGTTTGTTTGTTTGTTTTTGTAAGTGTTTTACTGCGCTCGCATAAGGTCATATGAGCACGCGGGACACATTAAACTTTTTCAGTAGGTAGGAAATTTTGAATTTTGCTCGGGTGGCGACCGAAGCCTACTCTTATCAATTTTAGACCACCAAAGTATCTTTAACGTGCGCAACTTGCACACGGGCCCTCCGAGGTTTTTCGCCCTTGTCCGAGAAGGCTAGGTGTACATCTTTCCTACCAGAAGATCAGGGGTGTGGCTCAAAGACAGCAGTAAGAAGAAGCCAAGGAGTAGCAGTAGAAAGACTGTAGAAAGAATCAGGAGCCCAGAGGAGGGGGGCAAAGGAGATGTTTGTTTGTTTGTTTTTGTAAGTGTTTTACTGCGCTCGCATCTGCATAAGGTCATATGAGCACGCGGGACACATTAAACTTTTTCAGTAGGTAGGAAATTTTGAATTTTGCTCGGGTGGCGGCCGAAGCCTACTCTTATCAATTTTAGACCACCAAGGTATCTTTAACGTGCGCAACTTGCACACGGGCCCTCCGAGGTTTTTCGCCCTTGTCCGAGAAGGCTAGGTGTACATCTTTCCTACCAGAAGATCAGGGGTGTGGCTCAAAGACAGCAGTAAGAAGAAGCCAAGGAGTAGCAGTAGAAAGACTGTAGAAAGAATCAGGAGCCCAGAGGAGGGGGGCAAAGGAGATGTTTGTTTATTTGTTTTTGTAAGTGTTTTACTGCGCTCGCATAAGGTCATATGAGCGCGCGGGACACATTAAACTTTTTCAGTAGGTAGGAAATTTTTAATTTTGCTCGGGTGGCGACCGAAGCCTACTCTTATCAATTTTAGACCACCAAAGTATCTTTAACGTGCGCAACTTGCACACGGGCCCTCCGAGGTTTTTCGCCCTTGTCCGAGAAGGCTAGGTGTACATCTTTCCTACCAGAAGATCAGGGGTGTGGCTCAAAGACAGCAGTAAGAAGAAGCCAAGGAGTAGCAGTAGAAAGACTGTAGAAAGAATCAGGAGCCCAGAGGAGGGGGGCAAAGGAGATGAGGGAGTGGGGGCAGAAAGAGGAGACGAAAGCAGACGACAGATCATTGCTAGAGAGCAGGAAAGGAGGTGAAAGGAGACAAATTTAGAGAAGAAAATTTTTCGGTCACTACCCGGATTCGAACCCGGGACCTTTGAATGAGAGGCCAACACCTTAACCTCTAGGCCACGAGAGCCCCCTTTGTGAAGACTTCACTGCAATGAGTGGTCAGGTTGTGAAGAACATCATTACACATGATTGTGATTGTTGATTGCATGGAGAGGTAATAGAAGATGTGTGTCTGTGGCTTTGGTGCTGTCAAATTGGGCTCTGCCCCGCGGGAGTGTCTGCCCAAATTTTTGCTTACTGAAACTTTCAGCTCTGTATTTCATTTTTAACAATTTATTGACATCAGTTGTATCCTCTTCACGTGTATTGACGGATAGTGGAGGTTTTTTCTAGGCTCTTTTGTAATAAACCACTTTTCTTCTTCATTGTTTCAGCTTCCATCATGGTGAAACAAGCAAAAACGAAAGCAGAAAAGGAGAGAGCAGCTCCTTCTTGCTCGTCGCAACATTTCGGCCAGAAGTAGTAACTAATCAGTATCGCGACCAGAAATTACACCAACAGCTGCAATTGCGCTCCTTTCAACTTCATTAGACAGTCCAATGCCATCACTACTGGAAGCTCAGCTGTCAACATCCGTCTGTTCAGCTCAGCAACAAACTACTCCAGTATCAGCACCAGTTGAGTCTGAGCCTGCACCTACAGTTTCTGCCTCCAAAAGAAAACTGGCCTACATCTATTCTGAAACATCTCAAGATGACTTCACAAACAGCTTGCCATCAACTGTTGTTGACCTCCAAACTCTGAAAACATTGTTCATAGGCCTTCTGTCTCTGTATCCAACGTGTCTACAACCTTCCCTCTCACTGACAAATAAAACAAGCAAGAACTGTGGCCTGGCAATTTCACTTGCTGTTAAATGTGAAACCTGTAGTGAAACGGTGACCCAAACACTTCAGACAGGTGTGAAATGTCTTCAACTTCAGTTTTTTACGTTAATCGCAGAGCTGTCGCTGCAGCTTCAGCTACCAGCATGGGGTACTTTGGATTGTGTAACTTTTCAGAATGTATGAACATTCCTTCGTTGCACCAAAAAACGTACCAAGCTCATACAAAAGTCATCAGTAAAAAGTGTGAGACATTTTCAAGAGACAGCCTTTCCACAGCAGTTGAGAGAGTAAAGGAAGTTTATGAAGAACAAACTACTAGTATACTGCAGTAAAAGACATCCACGTTTCATTCGATGGTAGTTAGCATAAAAGGGGCCACACGTCAAAATCGGGAATTGGCCTCGCTATAGAGAGAAAGACTGGTTTGATTGTTGACTATGAAGTGTTAACAAGTAACTGCTCCATATGTTCCACCACAGGGAACAAACTTCAGCAGGAAAACATTCTGAAATATGAAAGGTGGCTGGCACTTTATAAGCCATACCGCTGTGCAAATTATGAAGGCCCTAGTGGGGGCATGGAAAAAGAAGCTGCCCTTAGAATCTGGAGCAGGTCAATATTGAAAAATGGTCTCAGATACGTATCGATGATTAGCTACGGCCACGCGAAAACTATTTCAGAAATTTGTGCTCTGGACCCATATCCCGGCACATCAGTAGAAAAACACGAATGCGTGAACCACGTCGGCAAGCGCCTCGGCACTGCAATCTCATGTCAGAGAAGTCCAAACAGAAAATAACTCTCGGCGGAAAGGGACACGAGAAACTACGATCCGACGTGATTACTCAGCTCCAGGGTTATTACACGAAAGAAATTCGGAGCAATGCAACTGTGCCTGAAATGAAGCAAGCGGTGATGGCCATCACGGACCGCTGTTCCTCCACGGACAACGAACCTCACCATGACAGCTGCCCGAAAGTGAAAGACTCCTGGTTCTTTTACCAGAAAGCAAAAGCAATGGGGCTACCTCCTGGCTCCCACATGGAAAACCTAGGGACTCCCCTCTGCGAGCTGGTGGCAGATCATGTGAGACCCATTTTCCAGCAAATGTCGTCGGATGCTTCGCTAAGCAGATGTGTTCTTCAAAGTATCCAAAACGCTAATGAGAGCGCGCATGCTACCATCTGGGCTCGCTGCCCTATGCACCTATTCGCCAACTGGGATCGCCTTGGTATTGCAGTTGCTCTTGGAGTTGCGGAATTCAATTTCGGCTCAACATCGTCACGCAAATTCATGCAGGCACTCGACCTACCTGTTGATACTGAAACAAAGAAAAGTGGGAGGAAGCGGGACCACACCAGGACAGTGAAAACTGAAGCAGCTATTACTTTAAAAGCAAAGAGACATAGACAGCTCAGAGCAGAAGCAAAACAACGAGAGGAGCAAAGGCTGCTGGAGAAATATGGACAATTTTATTCCTCTGGTTGGGGAGATTGAGGTTGAAGTGTTGGTAGGGTTTTTTTCTTCAATTTTTCGATGGGGGTGGGTCAGGATTTCTTGGATTAAAAATGTCCAATATATCCTCTTAAGTCACAGCCTTAATGTACACAGTTTGACGGGATAATAAGCCCCACAGGGTAATAAGTCCCACTTTCTACTTATGCTAATTTTAATTCTCTATAACTTGTATGACAAAACCATTGGGGCAACAAGCTCCAGGGCTCAAAAGAAGCCTGACCAATCAGAGGACAGTTTAGAACTAAGCTTTGGTCTGAGAGCCAATGGAATGGTTGAATATAAGCACTTTTAGGAAGTTCCTCTTTCCTTGCAGTTTGAACTTCTTGTCTGAAGATGATCACAAACTTTTAGCAGGTGGAGACAGACTGCCTTTAAAAACGTTTTACTGCAATCCTAGCCTATTTTCATAACAGAAATCAACACACAACCCTTAAGTAAGTATATTTCTACCTGTTTTAATAAGTTGTTGCTCTACATTGAAAAGAATAGTTCATTTATTGCTGTTTTCGTGGTGCTGCCAGCCAGTGCTAATGAGATATGACCAACATGATGAAAGTGAAGTGCATGATGATTTATAAACTTTCTTGTCATTTCAGATTTATTTTTGGAAAACATGCTTTTATTTGCACCTTATGACCTTCTCCTAATGTTTGCCTACATGTTTTTTATATTACTTTGTGAATGGAAGTATCAAAATTCATTTTATAGTAATTAGTAGCCAAAAGTTCCAATGAATGAATTTGAACGATAAAAATAATCATTAAAGTTGCTCTCTACCCTGAATTTCTACTTTTAGTTAGGAAATGCCACCTTATAGTAATGCTTAAGTTAAATGAAGCTTCTTACACGAGGAAAACAAGCTCTTTATCCTCTAGAGACATAATTTTAACATGGAGTTTATTGCCCCCTATCCACAGAATGGTACGAACATACAAGAAGAGGAAGGAAGGAAGCCGGAAATCGTATGCATCAAGCCAGGCAATGATACTAGCACATAATGCAGTGATGGGCAAGACCATGTCAGCGTATCAGGCTTCCAAACACTTTGGTGTGGACAAGAAAAGTCTCTACGACGAGTCAGGAGAGAGATTCCCGTGAACGCTCACTGTGGGAGGACAACAGTCCTATCATCAGGCACAGAGCAGGAACTGGCCGATTGCCTAATTGTGCTTGCAAAATGAGGCCGGATATTTGGGAAAGAAAAGGTGAAAGATATTGTTCAAAGTTATGTCTCAGGCAACAACATTGACAACCCATCCAAGGACAATCGTCCCAGACCAGACTGGCTACATGACTTTCTTACACGTCATCCAAAAAGCAAATTCTAGGGCCAGGGCAGAAGATCCTGAAACAGATCCTAAAACTCAGATAGTTCTCGCTCGCAAGGGTGCGTCCCGTGTGAATCAAGCGATTGGTTGAAGTGGGAGAGAACAAATAGTTGATTGCGCTGTTTCAGGCAGTGGCCAAGTGCTTCCTCCATACATAATTTACAAGGGAAGGAACTTGTACTTGGAGTGGACTCAGGGTCCAAGAATCCTGCCAATGGAAATGGATGAAAAAAATGTGTGTGTGAGTGGAACGACCATATGTGTTTCATGACACCACTAAGTCTTTTGTCATGCCAGATCCACCACATCTCATCAAAAACTTGAGGAACAATTTCATGATGAAAAACATCTCCTTTAGCTTGGATAGTGAAAGAATGACTGCAAAGTGGAGCCACCTCAAAGAGCTCTTCTCCCTCGAAACATCTGGCCGGTCAATTCGCACTGCTTCCAAGCTGACTAAAAATATAAACGTTATCTTGGCATGCCAGATATTTTCACACTCAGTCCCTGCGGCCCTGAAATTCTACGTTTCAAAGTCGTTGATGTCCAAAGACACTCTTCGCACAGCATGCTTTGTGGAGACTGTGAACAGCATGTGGGATTTTGTAGACTCGCATTCTCTCTCCGCCCCCGTCGGGAAGAAGTCGGTTGCAAGGAATGATTTGGAGGGCGACCAGGCCCGGTTTTCATCCTTTTTCAACTATGTTGAAAGCTGGTTTTACACAAACCCAATAAACAGCAAACCAGCAACGAACATTCCAAGTCACCAAGGGTGGCTCCTGGAGCTTTCACCAAAGAAGGGATTGAGCCAACAGCTGATTATGGAGGAGGAGGTCTTGACACACTTGTGCCTGAGGAAGTGTAACCAGGATCACGTTGAGAACCTTCACAGCCAAAAACGTGGCTACAATGGTTTCAACAACCACCCAACCATACCGGGTTATGTCAACGCACTCCATTGCCAGTCTTCTTCTTCTGCAACATCAGAGCTTTTGGACAAGACGATCAGTGCTGGAGCCAACTGCTAGCCTGATGGTGAGCACGGACACCATTACATTATCGTTCCATTATATGTTGAACGCAGTTTAGAAAAAGCTGGTCATGCGGATCCCATTGAAACCAACTCCTTCAGTAGTGACAACTACTTGGCTTCCTCTACAGACATGGAGATGGAACTGCCACCCGTCGACTCAAACATTGTACAGTACATTGTTGGTGCTGTCGTGAGAAAGTACAAGCAGCAAAATGAGTATTGGTGTTCTGTGACTGTCGCCGCTTGAACGAAAGCCACAAGGCATCGCCAAATTTCTGGTCCAAGGGAAATAACCGAGGAAACTTGCACCTTGAACAAGGTTACAGAGTTGTTTTCCTTGATTTTTACAACTGTAGAGATGGCTACTCAAGAAAGACAGATTCCTATTCCAAGATGTTTAGTGTTGACTGGAAACTTCAATGTTAAGAAAGTTTTTCACAGGGATTGGAAAAACTATGAGATAGCAAGCAAACTGCTGTCAGCAGAGATAGAAGAAGTGAGAGTAGCAACATTGCTGTCCTGTATAGGCAGAGGGGCCATGGACATATATGACGGCTTCAAGTTAGATGAAGACAAAGACATCAAGAAGATTATGGATGCCTTTGAAACCTACTGTATCGGCGAGACAAATGAGTCATATGAAAGATTCGTTTTTAACAGCCGTAACCAGCAAGATGGTGAATCTGTAGGCAAGTACATGTGTACATAACCGAGCTTAGAAAACTTGCAAAAACATGTAACTTCTCAGAGTTGGAGGAAAGTCTGATCAGGGACAGGATCATTATGGGAGTCACATGCGATGCGACAAGACGCAAGTTACTTCAAGAAGCAAAGCTTACTCTGTCCAAATGTATTGACATTGCTAGGTCAATTGAGTCCTCAAAAAAACAATTACAGACAATACAAAGAGAGTCGAGTGAACTCCACAGAGTGTCACACTCATCACAGCAGAAGAAAGGCCATAGGAAGAATCCAACACAACAGACTCAGCTCAGACCAAAGGGCTAATGAGAGGTCCTACCTGATACAGACACCCCTGTGGCAAATCAGACGAAACAGACTCCACTTACGGCAACGAAGTCTACACCCTTACTGTGAATGGTTCACAGTCGAGTAAACATCTGACGCCTGCAGCAAGAACACCTCAGAGGAAGATTGTGAAATTGCTGGACAATATAATACTTGTTTAGAAAATGATTGATAATTACTTTGATTCACAAATCCATCAATTTTTTTTTCGACAGATGAAGGTTCAGATTTATCTGATTTTCAGACAGATCAAGAACCAGATTTCATCCCGGTGGGTATTGCTGAACAACCTATGGTGTCCTATTCAATTCAGAAACCCTCAACCTCTGCCCAATCTTCAACTACAGCCTCTGCCCGATCTCGTCTTCAAGGAAACACTATGCCTCCCTCGTCGTAGCTACGTCTGCTTCAACAGCGCCTTCGACTTCTGGTCAGGCGATCCCTGCTCTTGAGGTACTAAGAAAGCTTCAGTGGCGATGACTGGATTTTGACGACCTTTCGACAAATTCACAAGAATTTATCGCCAATAGGATGAGCTCTGAATCATCCATACGAGAGCCCGATGACCATTTTAGAAACTTATTAGAAGATGACGTTTTATGTAACCTCATGGTACAGTCTAATTTGTATGCCTCACAAAAAAAAAATGTGAACAAAAGTTTAAAACTTTCTAAAGAGGAAATGGAACACTTCTTTGGTATGAACTTTAAAGAGTGTAGCGAAGTTACCAAACACAAAAATGTACAGGGGCAAAGAAACTAGAGTAAGCCAAGAGGCTGACATTATGACACAAAACAGGTTCGAGGAAATAAAATCAAATTTGCAAGTAAATGACAATAACAAAATGACAAACTTTTCAAGGTAAGGCCCCTGATTGATTCCCTTACTGAAAATTTTAAACAACAAACACCGAAAGAATACCTTATCATCGATGAACAGATAATCCCTTTCATTGGAAAATCGTCCCTTAGACATGCAATCCCAAAAAATCTAAAGAGTGGGGATACAAAGTCTACATTCTTACAAGCGTCGATAGTGTCATTCACAATAATATATAGAATTTTATTGCGGCATCATTCTTCCCGTTGAAAGGAAGCCAGACTTGAAAGCAACTGGGAACATCGCGCTTAGGCCGATGAAGCCTATCCCAACAGGCATCTGGCACAAACTCTTTTTCAATAATTGGTTTACTGGTTTGCCCCTATTATTCGGTCTGTGGATGGACAAAATTGCACCTGTTCGTACTGTTCGGAGTGATAGACTTTTTGGACGTGGCCCTACTCTTCCTAGCGACAAAGAGATGAAAAAAGAGGAAAGAAGGCATTCTATATTGCATACAGCTTCACTTTCTGGCACACCTCTCAATGTTGTTCGGTGGTATGACAACTAAGCTGTCACACTCGTTTCAACATATGCAGCCATCGAACCTCAAAAGACAACAAGGAGATGGGATAAGGCGAAAAGCCAATATATTGATGTTCCGCAATAAAACATAATAGACATTTATAACAAGCATATGGGTGGAGTTGATCTACTTGACATGCTTGTGTCGCTGTACAGAAGTGGAATGAGATCCAAAGAGTGGTACATGAGGATCATCTTCCATTTATTGGATGTTTGTGTTGTTCAGTCCTGGCTGATCTATCGCAGAACTGCCAAAAGCCTTGGCATTTCCAGGAAAGAACAGATAGGGCTTTACAATTTTAAGCTTTCCATTTCAGATTCTATGATGAAACAGTGAAAACTGGCAGTTGGCTTCAAACGTCTTGGAAGGTCAGGATCCAGAGGATGTAAAATTTAATAATCGTCAACTCAACTGCCAGCAGCTGGCCACACCGTTAAAAACTCAGAACTTTTCGCATGAAGTAAAATACTTATGATGTGTGGTTTTTCATTTCAACAACTTCCAGTTTGAGTCTTATAAAAACCGAAGATTAGATGTATTACAAGAGAGTAAAAAACACAAAGAAGGAGGAGAGAGGACACAAGACGACTGATAGGAAAGTAGAGACAAAGCGCACTAGAGCACCCACCAAAAACCCACTTTGGTCATATAGAAGAACATTTCTTTGTAAAAATTAAACAGCTGAACACATTTGGCCACTAAAACCTCTCACTCTATGAGACCTACTACGCTAAATGTTTGGAAATATGAAGCTTTGTGTGATCCAAACGAGAAAACGAAGCGCCACACAGATCACACCTGTATGGTTTTTCTCCAGTGTGCATCAAAAAGTGTCTTTTCAATGTATGTCTCTTCCTGAATCTGGCATCACATACAACGCATTTATGTGGCTTTTCTCCGGTGTGTATCAAGGTGTGCTGTCGTAAGGTACTCTGTTGGCGGAAACTTTTCCCGCAAACGTCACACCTATGAGGTTTGTCTCCTATGTGGATTAAGGTGTGCTGTCTCAGGGTGGCATTATTCGTGAACACAGAGCCACACACAGCACACTTACGAGGCTTGTCCACTGTCCGAACGCAGGCATGCTTTTTAAATCTAGCTTTACCGTAATATTTTCTACGACAAACGTTGCACTTGTAAGGCGTCTCTCCCGTGTGTCTGGAGGTGTGAACCTTCAGGTCATATCTCGAGGTAAATCCAGCGCCACACACATCGCACTTGTAGGGCTTTTCCTCCGTGTGAATAAACACATGCGTTCGGAAAGTGGAAATACGGCTAAATCTTGAGCCACATATGTCGCACTTATAAGGTCTTTCTCCTGTGTGTGTTAACTTGTGTCTTGTCAGAGTGTTCATCCTCTTGAATCTCGCGTCACACACATCGCACTTGAAAGGTCTCTCTCCCATGTGCACCAAGCCATGCTGTTTTAGGCTACTTCTAAGGCTAAACTTAGCATCACAAAGACCACATTTGAAAGGTTTTTCTTCAATCTGTTTCAAAGCAGCAGGTAGGAAGATATTACTAATAGCCTTGAAGTTAACATCAGACTTGATCGGTTCATTTTCAGTTGGTATCAAAGAGTATTGTTTTAAGATATTAGTCTTGAGGTTTGTATCAGATTTATATGCTTTTTTCTTAGTTTGTAACAAGCCCTGCTTTTCTACGGCATCAGCTTTCATCTCCGCATCACAGGTGAAGATCTTGAATGGTTTTTTATTGCTATGTACTAAAGCATGTCGTTTTAATTTACTGTTGCAATAAAAATCTTTATTACAAACATCACAGGTGAAAGGTTTTTCTCCTTTATGCTTTAAAATGTGGCATTTCAACTTGCTTTTCTGGGTAAACCGCGCATCACAAAGATCACACTGGTAAGGTTTTTCTCCCGTGTGTGTCAAGATGTGTCGTTTCAATACGTTGTTGTGTCTGAACCTTACATCACACAAATCGCACCTGTAGGGTTTTTCCCCTGTGTGAATCAAGGTGTGTCGTGTCAGGGCGTTGGCCCTCCTAAACCTGGCGTCACACACGTCACATCTGTAAGGCTTCTCCCCTGTGTGCTTGAAGCTGTGATATTTTAAGTCTTTCTTCTGGCTGAACACCGCATCACAAACATCACACTTGTGCACCTTACCTCTCTTTTTTTTCACTGTTTGCAGATGATTTAAGCCAAGTTTTTCAATTAATTGCGAACCATCCCTTCCAGGTTTCACAAGCTTTCCTCCCGTCTTCTCCAATGCACATTGTTCTTCGTGACTTACTAGGTTACTTTTCCCATCAGAAAAAACATTGTCGAGAGATGTCTTACTTCCAGCACGCTTCAGAAGAAGTTGTTTTAACCGGAGTGTTGTATCGAGTCGTGCATGACCTTCGTCTTTCTTGTTCTGCTCTTGTCCTGTGTGTGAAGAAAAAGATTATTTTTTTTACCTCGCATGAAGAAAAGTGGAAACATTGGATTGAAAGCATGAATACAGTGATAACATCTTCCCTCAACACTTGGGCAACCAAACTTTTGCTTTGTTTTAGTAGAGGTATTACAGTGCTCGCAACTGCATAAGGTTATATGAGCACCAAGGGGTGGATGTCAACAGAGAAGTCCTTACAGGGAATCAGACTTACTCTGCTCACCTCTCAAGCTTCAAAAGCACAAAGTCTGCTTCGACTATCAAGGCACCCCGGAAATAGTGTGACAAACATACAAAAGAAGTAGAGGGAAAATGTCGATAGTAAGGATTAGGAAAGAAAAAGCAACAGTTCCCTGTTGCACTTCAGGCACAGTTATGAGCATGACATTGATGAATCAGCCCATTTACAATTACAATTCTACTGTACATAAGAACATGGTTTATGTTTCCCCCTTAGCGAATGGTCTAAAGACACTTCAGACAATAGCACCGCCTCAGGGAGGGGGGGGGTTGAAACAAACTTTGCATTGGATCTAAACATTTGAAAGACTTTATATCACGCACCTCTTTTAATAAAATTTCACCTTTTTAAAAATCTTTGACAGACAGTATGAATATAAAATTACTGCATAGAGATTTCTTTTAATAATCGGAACTGAATTGGACAAAAATAGAATGAATGCAAAGTCTGCAGTAATGAAATCCGCTCTTACATGACATGTTCATATGCACACTGGCTCAAACATTTGAACATTTTTAAAAATTGTTTTAAACTTTCATAATTTAGGCAATATATCTTCAAGTATTTGCAGCTCTTTAAAAAAATTTAACTTTTTTTATATATAACTAGAGAAACACAAAATAATCTCCAAACAAATTAAATTTACACAACTTACTCTTTCCAAAAAGTCAATGAAAATAACAAAACAAAACAAAACAAAACAAAAGATAGCAGGAAAAGAAGAAGGACCTCGATGTGACACCTTCCAACCACTCACACAACCAAGCTGGAACAATTGTGACAATCTTCTCAAACCAATTTCCTTGACCTTCTATCATTGGTCAAGCAATGCACGCTGAAATGGTAAAGCCAGGTCATCCATTCTTCAGGCCTTGCTAACACCATTCTACAACTACAAGACACTGTAGGGAAGACGAAGGAGAAGCAGAAGAAGTGATGGGAGAATAATATCCGAGAATGGACAGCCATGGAGCTGCGGGACACACTGAGGAGAGCAGAGAGCCAAGAGGAGGGGAGGAGGTTTGTTGTCATCTGTCAGAGGCGATCCAATGGACGACAAATCCATGGGAGCAGAAAGAAAGAAGACTCAGATTCCATATACATTGCAAGTATGAGGAGTGCAGAGAAGCAGACATTCAACAGCAGGATTAATCTGCAAAACCAAATTCTCAAATTCCAAATCATCCCTTTTTAATATTTAAAAAAGTATATGTGATTTTACACCCCCCTCAGCACAATTTAGATCATTTTAGGAGGGCTTCCACATGGCATATCAGGCCAAACCCGGGCTGAAAGGGATACACAACATACCAGCAGAAAGACCAAGGTACTCGATAAAATAATTCTCTCCACTCAAGAACCAAACTCAGGTGTCTTGCGTGCAACAGTGAAGAGTCTAAACGCAACAACACAGACACGAGTTCTTTCCTCTGCATGCTGTTTGCAAGTTGTTACATTACATTCTAAGAGAATAGATTATGAAGTAAAAATGCACCAAAAGCAGTAATCAATGTTCCATCTTCCAAATGGTGTAGGCCTACTAGGCATGTCAGCTTTTTCAGAACCTAATCAGGGACATCCAACACTATCTTTATTCGTTATTTGGCCCCTCGGAGTGGTGAAAGCTATAATGTCCTCTCAAATTCCCCATTGCAGATGTTTAGTTTAGTTTTAGTATGAGTTTTACTGCACTTGCAACACAATAAGGTCATGTAAGTGCCCTAGATTAGAGGTGTTACAAGACAGTAAAAGACACAAAAAAGGAGGGGAGATAAGGATGATAGATGTCTGATAAGAAACAAGGGGCAATTCACACGACAGCATCTACCAACAACTCACTGCAGATTTTAGGACAATCCTAAGAAACTTGGGACAGTTGGCATGCCTGGGATACTCTTCTTTCAGCATATTTGGAAAAAAAAACTACATCCCTCGCCCCACTAAAATAGAAAAAATATTTAAATGAAGGAAAAGTCTCACCCATGTTTTCACCCTTTTCCTCCTTGAAGAATGAGGCAGTGGAGGTACTAGGCTCACACCACAGAGGTGAATTATTGCTCCTTGATGGACTGAAACCAAGTCCATGGGATTCGCCGATGTGGGGGGTCATATCTACCGCCAAAACAAAATAAATGCTCATTCATAAATATTGCACAATAATAAAATTTATAAAGGGAATGTATACGGTGCCTAATCCCTAGAAAGCTGTAAGCCCTGTACAATACAAAATTATCCCTCAACTGAATGACAAATCAGAAAAAACTGAAAATGCACAATGCAAAACCATTTTAACTTTAAACTATGCACACAACAAACACATGAAACTTCCAGACCCACACACATTCTCACATAGGCCTACATACAATTTTACAAAAGCTATTGGCAGAAGATAGCATAAACATTCCATTTAATAAATAAACCAGGTTTGGCATCTTTCAGGCATAAAACAATCTTGTTGATACTGCAAAACTATAAAAGTTTCAATCATATCCTGACTTGCTCTTGAATTACCCTTGCTTGTTGTCCATCATGAAAAGCTACAATGTTTAGAAAAAAAGTAAAAAAATAACGATCACAAAGACAAGAGCAGTAAATGATACAGTGTAAACAAATACTTTGCATCACTTTTAAACTTCCCTCTCTCAATTTCAAGGCCCAAAGTTATTCAAAAGACACCGAACATAATGACTTTTTAGCTCATATGGGAGAATCAAAATCTCATACTAGTGCACACCTTTCACAAATGTTTTGATTGGATAAAAAGGCAATAATAGCCCATTCTTTTCAAACAAAAGCAAAATGCCATTTAACACACTAAGTAGAGAGTCAGGTTTTTCAATGCACCATGCATTGTGTTGTTGGGAATAAGTTAAATTATGAATTCTACACGCACACATGATTTCAGATTTCATATGAATTCAACATAACAAAAGTACATAATATAACCGTAACCATCTCCTTAAAAACCATTAGGGGGAATGAAAAACCAACGAAAAAAATTAAATTCATATCATACCCCAGTAAATCGAAGATTTGAAAAAAAAAATTTCTGCAGTGGTAGTTCCGGAGCACATATATTTATATCCCTTACTTTCTTTTTTTAAATCCCCGAGTTGTGAAACTGCCATGTGTCCAAAACCATAGGGCCTCTAGCCTCTATTGCATATTCAGTCAGCTTTTCACTGTCAGTAGAAAGGTGTTTTTTTCCCAATTGTGTGCTGACATGACCTTATGCAGTTGCGAGCGTTATAAAACTCTTACCAAAACAAAACGAAGTTTAAAAAAAGCAAAACCAGTGACAGCAATGCAAACAATACAATAAAAAAAACAACTAACAAAGCAGAGCACGGCTTTAACTTGATTACACTAGAATCTAGAACAACCCTGCACAACAATCCTACCTCGCACTGGATAAATCTTGTCAGAGCTTGAGTCTGCATCCCGCTCACTAAAAAAGACAGTCAAATTTTCAGTTGGTGAACCAGTTTCCTCTTCATTTGACAGGTCCTCATCAGCAGGATTCGTTGGAGCATCATATGATAAGTTGTTTCGGCTAGCGGCATTAAGCAGTTCTGAACCACCATTCATGAGCTGTAAACTCTTCATAAACGACGACAGCAATGGGAACTTTTCAGCCAGCCTGCTGGAATTTCCACTCAGTTCGGGTGCAGCATTTACCTCCTCATCGTCTCTCATTTGCTCTTCAGTCTTTCCAATCTTTGAGAAATCTTGCCACTCCCTCTCAGAAACATTTCGAGGTTTCACCACGCCCTCCACATTCAAAGCAACACCAAAACTATTTTCAGTCATACCCTCCTCCAGCGGTTCTGTCTTAACCTCATGATCACAAGAGCAATTTTCATCCCCAGAACAATCAGAACGGGGCTCTTCTTTTACTTTGATTTCAGAACATTTACTTTCAGAGACTGGAACATCTTCAGGTCGATTTGAATGTAAATCATGTCCTGTAATGTCTTCCTCACAGACTATCGAGGACACATTTTCCATCCTTCAGTACTTGTCACGGTCCTTCAAGAAAATAAGATGATTCAAGGACTAGGATATCGGCTGAAGAAATGTAAAAAAAAAAGAAAGAAGTTTTATCACCTACACTCTATTTTAAGCATTTGATTTGACAGTGCAATACAACCATCTTTCAATTTCCCTGACCCAACGAAAAATATGATAATGATATTACGTACGTGTGTGCCTGACAAAAGAGCCCATCATGTTGGTGAAGCCACTTGAAAATGTAGTTTCACTAGAAAATTATTTATATATATATAAGTTTATCCGGAAATATCTTACTTTTCAAAACAATTTAGCTTTCAATTTAATTTGTAAGCAGTTAAAAGATTAGTGCTAGTATTAATGAGGTGTCTGGCAAGCAAATTCAAAATAAAAACCCAGGGTGAAATATAAGCCTCTTTTTGAGCTACCATTTATTTGCAGTCAGGTAGGTCATAATATATTCTTACTTCAAAAATATAAAAAAAACTAACTCCAACAGGGTGAAAATTTTAAGCGTTACCTGCCTAACATATATATACATATGTATAATGAATTTGTAGAAAGAGCATGAATACAGTAGATTCTCTCCTACGGACAGTAGCAGAAAGCAGGAAGGCGAAGGTAGTGTCAAAGTTGGTTAATCATAAAGCAAAAGGTGAAAAGTAAAGTCATCAGCAACATCTACTGTCTAAAAATGCACGCACAGTCTAAAGTAATTCAGACACGTTTAACTTGACTTGCATTACATATTATACTAGCTGGGCCCCCTTTCGATGAAGGAATGATCGGTGCTTTAATATCAACTAAAAGTCATTGGCCTGCTATATTTATACTCTACTGGAATGGGGCAATAAATCTTGAGAGATGCAAAAAATTCGAAGGTCTAGATCTATACTCTCAAAACAAAATGCGCCTCGCGAAATATCACTTCCGGATTTTCTAAAATTACAGAGACAGAAGCGTCGGCCTACAAAAGCGTTCGGCGAAATAAAGAAATTTAGCATTTTGCAGCAAAACTGTCTCAAAACTGAAAAAAACCAAGGGCGTCATGATCTGGAGAATATTTTAAAGAATTTTTTGGCGAAAACCGCATGTCGATTGACGCAGCCATTAAAAAGCCTTTTGAATAGCAAAATTCAGCCACCACAAATAGATAATAGATATATAATGATTTAGAACTCTGTGATAGTAGTTTTTACCCTTTGAGTCCTAGCCCTAGCCACTACTACACCAATGGCACGTAAAATAATAATTTTGCCCGTATCATCAGTATGCCTTGCCACCATGTGTACCAGTGAGCGAGAACCATCACATAGCCGAGGGATGTTTCGGTGAGGCAGCTCTTGTTGGGATGATATTGACATAAAGGCGGAATTTTGGTGGTAAATTCTAGAGAAAAGCGACTCTCTTATATATTTACATCCAAAGTTTCAAGTCAAAATTACGGTTTTTAATTAAATATAGGTTGCTAGGCTTTAACTAAACTCTAGTCTAAATATAGAGAGACTCTATCTAGGTGTAACTCACTCAGGAGCTCAGGCAGACGGGCACAGTAGCCTCAGAAGCTCAGGTCTGAAAGGGATAAAGTACAAGTTCTGTAAAAGTAGTGTTAGTGTTATTATTATAAATATAAATAATACAGTAGAGCACACCTATACTATAAAGAACACTCTTGTAAAGAACTGACGGAAATAAAGAACACATTTCTTTGCCCTGTTTTTTGCTGTCTTTGTGTCATTTATATTTTGATGCATTTAGTGAACATATATATATACACCCTAACGAATTGACCGCTGTAACGAACCAATTTTCTTGTCTTTTTCCTTCTTATTTACAACTGAAGTAACGAACCAGCCTGTCTCTATGAGTTGACCAAACCAAGAGATGCCCAACTGCCACACGAGTCTGCCTACACAGTGACTACACACTGCCTACACACTTATCAGCACAACAACCCGATGGCTGACACAATGGATTCGCATAATTTTTCTTTGATCAGCCAAGCCCCTAGCCTGGGGCCTGTGGAGGGGAGGCGCCAAGCCTTCCTTTAGCTTTAATGATGCTCTGCCACTAGCAGAGATGTGCTTCTACTTCTCAAACAAACAGTGAAGACCATCAGTAGATAACTGTGGCAGTGAGCTTTGCCGAGGCAAAACAAAGTGTGGAGAAATTGAGAAACTATTTCGTATTCAATGGGGGGGGGAGCAATTTTTTTATGTTCTTGGGGATATGCAAAATTTGTCATGGAGGTAGGAGAAAGGGAGAAGCAGCAAACATCCATTAACTTCCTTTTCTTCTCTTGCGAAGAAATGATAGATATCTACCATGTATACTATTCCTATTATTATGACCGAAAAGGACTGAGAAAAAGTATGTTTGAGTGTGTTGACTAAAATAAAGAACGACTGATAAAGAACTCTAGTTTTACTGCCCGGGCTTGTTTTTTTATATATCAGTGTTTCACTGTATAGTATATATATATATCAAATACTTTGTTATCAATTTTTTTTTTCATGAAAAGAATGACCAAAAGAACAGTACTTAGTTCTGATGAATAGGAGCCCAGGCCTTTGCCTGCAATTGCTCAAGTCTTGAGACTGTCAGATTTGTCTTTGTGATTTTTTAAAAAGAATTATAAAGTGCGCAGGCACTGTGGAGTCGCTTTCAATGCACCATCCCCTCATTTTCCAGCGTACCAAAGACAGTGAGAGGAGGGAACAGACAGGAGTCGAGTTCCCCTTCCTGGTCACTATTCAAGATGGGGGCAGCCCGAGTCTGCTACATTAATGTTGTGACAACAATTACAGTCCTTCATTACAACTTTATACCGTGATCCATGCGCCTCATTGATTCACCATGATCGAAAGTGAGGAAAATGAGGCAACTCCAGAATCGACCCACCACAGCATCCAGAAGATTAAGATGAGCTACTCCAACGAGTGGAATGAAAATTCAAGGAAACATTAATTATTTTAATTCCAGAGAAGGCTCTGTGATCAGTCTTGTCATAAAGACCTGATATTTTAATAATTTTTTTTTTTTGGACAGTAGAGTCTAGAGGCTCGTAGCAATTAAAACCTCAGGTTTCATGTCCATTGATTAACAATACAATGGTCTGGCTACGAGTGGTGTGCCAAGGTGACTGAAATTTTAGTGCAGCACTAAGTTCAAAGCAAGCCCCAACTATTTATTATTTTTTGGTGCACAGTTGGTGATGGTGCGGGGAGAGTTCAAGCGGCTTCCACTTTGTCTCACGCAACTGTAGGCTGGTTACACAAATTAAATTTCAGCATCAACAAACAGGTGACTGTTACTGTTTGGTGCTGGTGCGGGGTTGATGAGGGGAAAGCGACTCCACTAGATCAAGATTCTAGATATCTAAGTCATACGTGCGCTTTTAGCTTTAACTTTAATAATGCATGATGATAGTGTGATTTAAAGATTTTGAGTCCTTTTCTTTTTTTTTTCTTTCATTTTCGGAGAGGACACTGGACTTGGACTTCGAACTAGTGTCTAGAACTGTTTGTTTTTTCAGATTCCTAATCATTCACTCACTCTTCAAAATGCTTTTTTCAGAGACCAGGCTGGCCAGTTAGATTCTAGACATAGATATCTAGGTCTAGATCTTGATATAGTTTTCTTGATGACACATACGTTTGTTTTCAGGGTAGGGGTGGATTTAAAATTTAAAATTATGCAGTGGCTACGTTCACGGCGCTCTGAATGCAGTTTGCAAGTGCTGTTGAGGCTACGTTCACGGCATTCAAGCTTCATTTAGGGGAAGAGTCCAAAGCCGGTTTAAGTCAACCGGTTTCAGTCAGTGATGACAGTGACGTTTAATATTTTGGCCAGCTTCAAGTGTTCCATCCCATGAGATTAAGGAAGAAGGAAAACGAAGCGCCCTTACAGAATTAAAGTCAGGATAAGGGATATGGAAAATTGGATATGGTAATGGGAAACAAGAGGTGAGAGAAGGGAAACAGAAGGCGAGATCCAGAAGATGGAACTGGTCATAAAATGTGTATAAAAAGTGACTGCATAGCACGAGTCAGCCTGGGAACCGATGCAGAGACAAAATGACGGGAATCAATTATTCTTAACAAACACCCTCTCTCTCTCCCCTCCCTTTCTCTCCCCTC